CTCAGCAACTCCACTGTTGACACTCATCCTAGAGACACTCGTGCGTGTGCACCAGGAGACATGCACAAGGTGAGCAAAAGCCTTGACTGTAGTAGCAAACGCCAGAAACCTCCCAGATGTCACCCACCAGAAAAAGGATCAGTAAAGCCGGCTACTCTACGTCCTGAACTGAGACTGTTTAGTATCCAGGATGTTTATTACGGAGTGCTTAGCAAAGTGAGGTCAACACCTGTAGGAAGAAGGAGAAAGAAGGAGGACCAGGTAGGGGGAGAAGTCAAGCTCAAGCTGCAGTGCAGGCCCAGTAGCTCAGGTGGCCTCAGGGTTCTCCACCAGGGAAGCTCTAGAACTGCAATGGATTGTCAGAGCTGTCTCATGTTGAATCAAAATGGCAGGCCTTTACATTCCACAACAAATCCTAATTAGAATGTGGGCCACACCCAAAAGGCCATGAAGTTGCTCAAGGCAATCCCTGAAGGGGCTGACAGCTAAAGGCTATCTGCTGACCACACTCACAGCACCTGGGACAAGCCCTCCTTTGAAAGGAGGATGTAAGTGGTGCATCTCCATGACCACCACATTGTTGTATATTCACACAATGGAATACTATATGGCAGTGAAAATTAATGACCTATAGCAGTCAACATGGGTAAATCTCACAATAATGAGGGGGAAAAGGCAAAAAACACACATAGTATGCTTTCATTTACTTAAAATTCACAAACAAGCAAAATAAAATGATATTTTGCTTAGGGAGAAATACAAACAGGTTAAAACTAAAAATAAGATCAAAGAAATGTTAAAATATAAGAGCTTAAATGGTTGTTACCTCTGGGAGATGTGGGATAGACAGGAATAGGATCAGATAAGGGGACACAAGAGCCTTCAAAAGTCTTAGAAAACACAAATAAATGGAAATATATACCATGCTCATGGATTGGAAGAATTAATACTGTTAAAATGTCCATACTACAAAGAGCAGTCTGCAGACGCTGTGCAATCCCCATCAAAATACCAATGGCATCTTTCACAGAAAATAGACCAAATAATCCTAAAATTTGTATGGAACCACTGAAGACCCCCAACAGTCAAAGCAATCTTGAGAAGGAAAAACAAAGCTGGAGGTATCATGCTCCTTAACTTCAAACTATACTACGAAGCTACAGTAATCAAACAGTATGGTACTGGCATGAAAACAGACACATATATCAATGGAATAGAATAGAGAGTACAGAAATAAATCCACACATATATGGATTAATCGATGACAAAGGAGGCAAGAATATACAATGGGGAAAAGACAGTCTCTTCAATAAATGGTGTTGGGAAAACTGGACAGCTACATGCAAAAGAATGAAATTGGACTACTTTCATACACCATGTCCAGAAATAAATTCAAAATGGATTAAAGACTTGAATGTAAGACCTGAAACCATAAAACACCTAGAAGAAAACATAGGCAGTCAGCTCTTTGATATCAGTCTTAGCAATATTTTTTTGGACCAGTCTCCTCAAGCAAGGGCAACAAAAGCAAAAATAAACAAATAGGAGTACATCCTACTAAAAAGCTTTTGCACAGCGAAGGAAACCATCGACAAAACAAAAAGGCAACCTACCCAATGGGAGAAGATATTTGCAAATCACATATCCAATAAGGGGTTAATATCCAAAATATTTAGGAACTTACACAAATTAATATCAAAAAAACAAACAACCCAATGAAAAAATGGGCAGAGGACTTGAACAGACATTTTCCAAAGAATACATACAGATGGCCAACAGGCACATGAAAAGATGCTCAACATCACTAATCATCAGGGAAATGCAAGTGAAAACCACAATGAGATATCATCTCACACCTGTCAGAATGGCTATCATCAAAAAGACAAAAAATAACAAGAGTTGGTGAGGATGTGGAGAAAAGGAACCCTCATACACTGTTGGTGAGAATGTAAACTGGTGCAGTCACTATGGAAAACAGTATGGCTGTTCCTCAAAAAATTAAAAATAGAGCTACCATATGATACAGCAATTCCACTTCTGAGTATTTATTCAAAGAAAACAAAAAAAACACTAATTTGAAGAGATGTATGCACCTCTATGTTCAGTGCAGCATTATTCACAATAACAACCTAAGTCCATCAATAGATAAATGGATAAAGAATATGTGATAGATATATCGGAATATTACTCAGCCACAAAAAAGAACAAAATGTTACCATTTGCAACAACATGGATGGACCTAGAGGGTATTATGCTAAGTGAAATAGCCAGACATAGAAAGACAAATACCATATGATTTCACTTATGTAGAATCTAAAAAACAAAACAAAATGAAAAACAAAATAAAACAGAAACAGACTCACAGATCCAGGAAACAAACTGGTGGTTACCAGAGGGGGGAAGCGTTGGGTGTGGGTGAAATATGCGAAGGGGATTAAGAAGTAGCAACTTCCAGTTATAAAATTAATGAGTCATGGGGATGTAAGGTACAGCCTAGGGAATATAGTCAATATTGTAATAACTTTTTATGGTGACAGATGGTAACTAGACTTATGGTGATCATTTCGTAATATACATGTATATAAATATCTAATCACTATGATGTAAACCTGAAACTAATAGGATATTATGCGTCAATTATACTTCAATAAAAAGTCTTGTAAACTCTCGATACTGTTCTATTTTTAACGTGGATATGTGGTTTCGTTTTATGATTATTATTTATAACTTACATGTGTTGAAACATTCTTTTGTATAATTGTTTTAATTTTTAAAAGCACAAGTATTTTCTCCATTTATTTCAGAAGAGACCATTTTCCCAAAGTTCAACCCAGAACCAGAAGCAGACGCAGTGATCAAATATGGTCCCCTCACTCTCTAACCCCTAGTGGATAAATCCTATCCCATAGGCACTGAATTTCCACGTGTGACTTAGCCCCGCTTCCCAGCTATTTTGCCAAGAATATGTCATACTTCATGAGTATTACTTAGCACCGCTAAAAAATCTTCAGTTATAATGGTTGATGTAAAAATATTAAGGCTTCAAATTTAGATAGCAAGTGAGCAGAGAGGAGACACTGCAATGGAATAATTATTCATAATTTACATTTGAAAAGCCGAGGCTCAGGAAAATAATTTGCACAAATTTATGGAGTAACAGCTCTGCTAGAAATAAAACAGAATCCCGGATTCCCCTGCCACTGCTACAAATTAGTGCAGAAGAGGAATTAACTCCTGTTTTTTGAGCAACAACCCACTGGTGATTATCAGGAATATCGTCTTTTAGGATAACAGGGCTAATATCTTGCCAGGTGTTCTGCAAGAGCAAAATACTACCAACATCAGAAAACGCTGGTATTTCCAGTAAGTTCACTTTCTGAGGACCCAAGTGTATCTGCTGTTTAGTGGAATGTCAATGTACAAGTTTATATTTCTTCGCAGATGAGTAAGAGACACAAGGAAGCCAAAATCTAATTGGCTCGCACACAGCTTTTCAATCACAACACACATTACTGAAACACAGGACTGTGGCATTTCACACTCCGTCTAACTTCTCATTTGCAGACCCCTGCCATTTAGCTACGTAAGGTGGAGGCTCAGAGAAAGGGTCACTCTGTGGTGGAAAGCAGACTTGGAGCTGCTTATTGTATTTTGAAAAGTTAAACTTTCAAAAACTGTTTGGACATTCAGAAAACTTTAAAATTTCCCCCAAAAGCAAACCTTTACTAATAATGACACTAGTCATTAGTCAAACTCACTAGTCAAAACTCAAGCCTTAAGCTATAAACATGACTCCTTATTTGGAACTAACAATCCACATGCCAAGACAACCCCACAAATAATTCTTCAAAAGCCATGAGACAGTGCCAAAATGCAAGGTAGGGATAGAAAACTTTCACCAAGATAAGGGGAAAGGCGTTGCAGATATGGGTAACGTGACAGCCCTTCCAAAAAATACCCTAAAACGGGAGGAAAAGATAGGAAGCACACTGAGTGGACAGCTCCTGTGCACAAGGTGGGATCCAGAGAAACCGCTGCTTCGAAGCTGAACTGAAGCCCTGAAGTGGCACCATTATTTACAGCAAACTTCTCTTCTTAAAAAGAAGAAGAAGAAAAAAGAAACTAGGAAATCACAGAGTTCCCCTTCTTTAAAGTTTTGATTGATCAATACTGGGGAGGTTCCAAAGTCACTTTACACCCCCTCATCAAAATGAAGACAAAGGATCTTGGTGACCGATGAAAACCACAGCCGCAATGCTGGGAATGTATTCCCCTGCGCCCTGAGGGCGTCGGGCAGGAAACCTGAGCATCGCTCCGTCCAGGCCCGCACAGGCGGTACGATCGGGGGTGGTGGGCACGGGCTCGGTGCTTCTCAGGACAACAGCAGGCTCTCAGGTCACTGCTCACAGCCTGAAAGCAGACCCCTGCCCTCTCGCATTCACATCTGAAGCTGCAGGTCCTCCAAATCACGCTCACTGTTCACAGAGTTACGTCTCACAAATGTGGGGACAAACCGTGCAACTGTTAAGTATTTACACGGTGGTTTTCTTGATGGCCATGACTCATCTTTTCTTTCTCGAAACGCGAGACCTTCCAGGAGCCCCTAGTCTTGGCAGAGCCCCTACCATGGGCGATGAACCTGCCCAGGCGGGTGAGATGCGAAGGAAGCGTCGAGAACGACCCGCTCCCACTCCCCGCAGCCGCGGATTAGCGCAGCGGAGTCTTGGCGCGCCCTCCCCGGAGGAGGTGATGCTGAGGGTACCGCCGGCGTCCGGGCCTTTCGGCTAAGGATGGACCGCTGCGGGCCACAAGCGAGCCAGAAGCCGCAGGACCCGCCAGAAGCAGCCGTGCAGCCCAGCCCAGCCCTCGCCCAAAGCCCGGGCTCCAAAGAAGGAAGCTCGCCCCCCGGCGCCGACCTTCCCGGGGGGGCGGGGGCCGCAGGCTGCCCGCGTCCGGTCTGCGCCCCCGCCGCGCCCGCGCCCCGCCGCCCGCGCCCGCACCTGCGCCGCCGCCCCGGGCCCCCGCCGCCGCCCGCAGCCCCGGGAGCACGTCCTTCCGGAGGTCGAAGTCGGCCGCCAGACGCAGCGCCATGGCCCGGGCACGGCCAGCGGGGCTGCAGGGCTGCGGAGCCCCTCCCGGCCTCCGCGCGCCGCCCCGCCGGCCCTGCGCCCGCCCCTCCGCCTCCCCGCCTCCGCGCCTCCGCTTTCGGTTCCGCGCGTCCGGGCGGCGGGGCCGGAGCGCCGCCTCCTCCTCCCGGCGCGAGCCGCGGGCTGGGCGCGCAGGGCTGGCGGGCAGGGGACCCAGGCCCCGAACCCTCAACCTGCGCCCTTGCGCGGGCGATTTGTCTGTTTTAAGGGCCGTGGAGGAGATGTGGCCAGACCGCTGGTTTCCAAACTCTGCTGCGCATTAGGTGTGGGCGCTGGGCATCTTTTTTTAATCCCCAGGTGATCCACTGTGCAGCAAAATTTGGATCCGCTTGACTAGAGAGGGGTATTACTGGCTGGATCCCCCGACATGGCTCAGGTTCATCGCAGGGGCAGAAGTGGGTGGCGTCTCGGGGCTATACCGCCTACCTTCACGGTGGTGTTTTATTGGGAATGTTGAGGTAGTAAGCAGAGGGAGCGTGTGAAGAAGACTCTAGTTTGAGATACTGGAGACGCTGGAAAGGGTTGATCAGCTTCCCACAAACAGGTCCTCTGCCTGTTTCCGGTTCCCTACCCTGGCTTCAACAAAGCTGAATTGTTTAGGATTCCTTCTGTGATTGGGCTTTAAAAAGCGCGCTCGCTCTTCCAGGGGCACCTGCCATCTCAGGCCCCTGCTCAACCCCATCCCTGCAAATAAATGCAGCGTTTTCTTAATCTCGCCGCTCAGCTTTCTTTTCATTCCCGCGAGGGCACCATCAGTAAGCTCAGTGGTTGTTGTGCCTTTGGCACTGCTGGTTCCCGTCCATCCGGAACACCAACGCCAGATTACTGCTCTCCCTAAAACCAAGCTGTCCTCACTACCCTATGCAGAAGACCCTGAGTGAGAGCTGGAGACCCCCCGGATAAAGCGTCTGCACTTTACCGCATCCTTCCAGCCTTTCTACCTAGAACTTCAGCTCCAGGTTGACCTGACTTCCTCTGATTCCACTCTCCTTCCTCCGAAAAAAGTCACCAGGCCCTTCCGACCTGGATCCACAGACCTTCTCAGAGCTGCAGCCTACGGCGACCTTCCCAGCCCTGAACTCCTGGAGCTGTATTGCTGGCACGCCTCATTTGACAGTCGCAGACTGCCTTGAGACGTGAATATTGAGTCTGGAGTCTTGGCACACGCCCCTGCCTCTTCCTAGGGGCTAACAGAGCGCCTGGAAGGGGCTCAGCCCTTACCGAAGAATAAGTCGATACAGTAATGGATGAAAGAAGGCTTTCTCGTGTGTTTCCCTAAGTTAGGCTCTGAAAACTACCTGCCTGGGGTCATCAGGGACACTCTCTTTCGAAGCAGACTCCCGCGCTCTCCTCGGCCTGGGCCCAGAAAAGTGCATTTCAACCAGAGCTTCGGGGATTCTTAGCTTGCTAAGGTTTGAACACCACTCTGCAGAAAGGTAAAGGAAACTCGCGGCTGCCCTACAGACATCTTTCTCCAGTTGAGGCAGTGAAGCCTTTCAAGGGGAACTCCACACCTCACCACCACCGCTGGAAAATGTTCCTGCCTGTCAAGTGTCTGAAGCTTCAACAGAAATGCTTAATGAGGCTGCTGGTATTGCTAGTGCATGAAACGGAGGCCGCGGGGGGCGCGGAGAGCTGCCACCACGACTGTTTCCTATCAGACCAAGCTGGTTGCCCTTTGTCATGCAGAAACATCTTCACTTGCCTATTTTAAAAATTCAGTAAGTTTCCAGGGCTTTTTTTTCCCCACAGTTAACCTCTATTTCTGCCAAGCACGACTGATTTTTATAGTCCTCAGCAAGCACTGATCACATAAAAATTCTCTTCAAAATAAACATAAGTAAAAAGGAACAGAAGGTGAGAAATAATAACCAGGATCAGAGAAAGATGTGGCCCAAACCATGCGGGTAGTATATGAATGAGTTTCAGTGATGATGGATTTTCCTTCAACTCCAGAAAACAGAACAAGAGACTCTATCCTCTTTATTTAAAAAGCTGCTTCATTGATAGAATGGGTTAACTTGATTGCGGTAATAATTTCACAGTGTGTGTGTGTATCAAATCAGCAAGTTGTACACTTTACATATATACGATTTTATTTATCAATTACACCTCAATAAAGCTGGAAAAAAGAAAAGCCGCCTCGTAGAGTCATTGAGCACTAGAACTGGCTTTTGGACGGAGTAGAAATATTTCTGCTTCTTGGGGATTTTAAGAATAAACCATCATCGTCCTTAAAATCAGAGCATAGTGTAGAGTTGGAGACTTAAAGGTCTTATAATCAAGGCTTTTATTTTATAGATGAGGATGCTGAGGCTCAAAAAAGTGAAATGAGAGTCCAGCCTTAGGTAGCAAAGCTAGTTAATGACAAAGTCACGACTCAGAACGCAAGGCCCCTGCTATTGGTGTTTGTGCTGATTATGTCCAGTGAACTGAGTTAGAGGACTCAAATTACCTGACAGCCTGGGGATTTCTCGTTATCCGAATACCACTCCCTGCCTGGGGTGGAATTCTGGGCCCACGGTGAGAAACCACAGAGCTGGGATCATATGGTTTCCTCAAAATCGCCTGGGTTCTTTGTAATTTCATCATGAGTTTTAGTTGAAGGAAACTAAAGGACTTGGAAATGTGGGTTGAGTGAATCATTTGTAAATGAAAATAGTTTATTTAAAAGGGATGTTAAACGGAAAAGTTTTACTCCACTCTCCTGACCAAGAAAGAGCTTCTGGAAGTGGGAAATTCTATAAGTGGATTTTGAAGGAGTTAGAAAGTGGCCTATTTAACGAATCTAATCCCAAAGTCTAAAACTGCCAGGTGTCTGAGGAAAGGACTAAAGATCCTGGGTTTGAAATTTGCATTCAGTGGAACAATAAATGTGCTAAAAGAACACTTTTATTAATAAACTCATGTGTGTTGAAATTAAGTAGAAGTGAATCAACTAAAAACCAAACCTCCCATTTTGGAGGCTAATCCTTTAAAAGTACAGCTGGGAACTTTTTTATGAAAATTAGTAGAGGTTACCAGAAAACCCATCAGAATCTAAATGGTACCTCAGGAAGTTCCTCTGCACTTTCCAGGAAATAATCACTTATTTTAAGGTTTGTAACTAAGATGCTAAAGCACTGACCATGAGGTGGCTTCTTATGTAGATATTGAGAATGCTGCCTCTACATAGTAATTTATTTTTAGTAGAAATATTTAATGTGTTTTTTTAACTAAATATTTAATGTGGTGGTCATTACAACTCCCCCAAATCCATTTCCCCATCAGGTGGTAATATTTCCTCTTGCCAGTGACCCATTTGGGAGTGGGCATGGGCATCAGTCACAAACAGGTTCACCAGAAGTTAATGAAAACCTGATTCACAGTGAATCAAACACACTGGTTTTCTTTTCTCATATATCTGGAGGTGGGAAGGCCCACGCTTGGGTAAAGCCCAGAGAACTACAGGGAAAGGGAGCCCTGGCACATCATCCTTGGCCTCAGCCCTACCTCTGGCCTTTCGATAGCAGAGATAACAAACTTCCCTATTGTTTAAACAAGGTTGAGTCCAATTTATATTTTACTGGTAGCCAAGGGTCTCAATTCTAAGGGGCTATCATTTCAAAATTTTGGTAACTTCCACCAGTGCTATGATCATAAGAGGTTTTGAACACTTACTAGGACTTATTGATCTAGATTTCTGTATTGTTCTTATTAACAATAAAGGGATGTTAAGGGAGTAGGGTTGTAGGGAGAAAAGCCCAGATAAGCAAAAAGAGTTAGTTCCAGAGCCCTGAAGCTCAACCTCTGCATCAGATCACAGTTGAAACTCATTCTATCAGCAGATTTTTCAATTACATGAACCAATAAATTTCCTTTATTACATAAGTCAGTTTGAAATGGATTTTCAGATACTTCTGCTAAAAACACCCCAACTCAGGGATTCTCACACTTTAATGAGCATGTGAATCATCTGCGGACCTGTTGAACTGTAGATTCTGGTTCAGCAGGCTGGGCTACGCTTCACAAGCCTCCTAGGCGATGCTGATGCTGCTGGTCCACAGATGACACTTTGAACAGCAAAGTCTGCTACTGAACGCAAGGATCTTTCCACCTGTGTATTGCTACCTTTCACCCCAGAGAGGGCCAGGTGGGGAAGGCCTGGATGGGCTAGCTGTGCAGATCCCCCAGAGCTGAAGGGCTGGTCTGGAGAGAAGTCTAGAATGGGGGTGAGTACTGATTCCATAAGTTAGAACTAGGCCATGGGCCACAAGCTCCTGTAGCAGACCACAGAAATCAGGAACTGAAGGGAGGAGATTTTAGGAAACGGAAAAGGATCCTAGCCCAGGACTTCTAGAAAGCAGAGCCTGGGCAAAGATTGAAGTGCTGACACTTCACAGGAGAGATGCAAACACAAGGCAAGGAAGAGGTGAAGCAAGGCGCTGAGTCTGAATCGGCATATTAGCAAGATCCCTGGGTGACTCATGTGAACGTGAAGGTTTGAGAAGCACCATTCCAGCTACCATGTGCTTTAAATAAGAGTTGTTTTCCTTCTTTCTCTGTTTCTTTGTGACTGAGTTACTGAGTTTCAAGCCTGTGTTGATTTGGTGCAGAGCAGAGAACTCACTCCAAGATGCAGGAGGCAAGGGGATGGAGGTACGAGAGGCCTCTGAAAGACACCTGCTCTGTCCACATCACAGCACAGTGATCCTAATAAAATAAATGGGCATCCTAAATCAAGGAGACCTTCTTTATCAAAGTTCAAACTTTTACTTAATGGGACTCCAGTAATGGTATAAGAGATGTACACAATAGGAGATGGAAAAAGATATGGCCTCTCTAAAGAATTTTAAAAAATATCCAAGATGTTCAAGGTGGATCAACCATATGTCCCTAAGTCACCAATCCCAAATTCTGTTATGATAAGGATGTTTTTCAGTCATTTCTTAGTATCTTAAATTCTAGCCTAAAAATGAAAACGAAGCACATTGACATCCTACACATTTTCTTCATGTAAGAAAGGACTCCTACTTGGATATGTTTAAAAATAGACAAAAG